GACTCCACATTGCAGAAGAAAGAATATATATGAAATTACCTAGAGGTGCAAAAAGAGTGGGAAAAAAAAAAAAAAAAAGCCAATAAGAATTATGGGGCACAATGAAAAGAAACAATGTTCACATTATGGGAATTCTAGAAAGAGAAGAGAAGGTAAAGGGGATAGAACATATAATTTAAAACAATAAAGACTGAAAATGTTCCAAACCTGGGGAAAGAAGTGGACATCCAGATTCATGAGGCCCAAAGGACCCCAAATTGGTTGAACACAAATAGGGATAAACTGAAATATATTGTAAGTAAGCTGTCAAAAGTCAAAAACAAAGAGTTTTAAGAACAGCAAGAGAAGAGACGTTCCATACAAGAGAACCCCAATAAGACTATCAGATTTTTCAAGAGAAACTTTTCAAGCCAGAAGAGAATGGGACAGTATATTCAAAATATTGAAAGAAAATAGCTGTCAGCCAGGAATTCTGTACCTGGTGAAGCTGTCATTCAGAAACAAAAGAGAGATAAAGATGTTTCTGAACAAACAAAAGCTGAGGGAGTTCATTACCACCAGACCTGCTTTATAAGAAATGCTTAAGGGCATTCTTTGAGTGGGAGTAAAAGAACAATTGACAACCTAAAAAAAGTTAAAAGGTAGTATTACCTCATTGGTAATGGTAAATATATAGCCAAAGTTAGATTCTGCAATATGTTAATAGTGGCACATAACTCACAACTCTAGCTTAAAAGTTAAAAAAAGAACATAATAAAAATAGCCAAACCTACAATACTCTGTTACTAGTTACACAATATATTTTAAAAAGTCAGTTGTAACATCAATAACCTGAAATTGAGGGGGAAGAGAAATAAAAGTGTTAATTTTATGAAATCAATTGACATTATTATTGATTTAAAATAAAATGTTAGAAGTTTAATATATTTTCTGTAAGCCTCATAGTAACTGCAGGGGAAAATCCTATAGTAATTGCACAAAAGAACACAATAAAGAAGTCAAAGCATACTGATTCCAAAACATATCAAAACACAAAAAAAAGACAGCAGGATAAGAAACAAGGAACAGTGGATCTACAAAACAACCAGAAAATAGAACAAAATGGCAATAGTATGCCTTATCAATAATTACTTTAAACATGGATGAAATATGTGAAGGAGATAAAGAGATACAGACTCCCAGTTTTAAAATAAAAAAGTCATGGTGATGAAAAGCACACCATAGGGTATATAGTCAATAATATTGTAATACATTTATTGTGATGAACATTTCCTAATGTATGTAATTGTTGAATCAACTGTTATACACTTAAAACTAATTTAATATTCTATGTCAACTATACTTCAATTAAAGTTTTTATTTTAAAAAATAAATATGATGGATTAAGTTATCTAATTAAAATACATAGAATGGCTAAATGAAAAAAAAGAAAAAGGAACCAACAATATTCTGCCTAACAGAGATTCACTTTACCTTTAAAGACATACATAGACTGAGAGTGAAATAATGGAAAGAAATATTTTAAGCAAATGGTAACCATACAAAAGCAGGAGTAGTTATATCAGACAAAATAGACTTTAAACTGAAAATGGCAAAAAGGAGACAAAGAAGGTCACTATATAATGATAAGGTGGTCAATAAATCAAGAGGATAAAATAATTATAAATCCTTATGTGTCCATCCTTAGATTACCTAAATATATAAAGCAAAAACTAACAGAGCTAAAAGGAGAAATAAATGGTAATTCAATAATAGTTGAGGGCTTTAAATACCCCACTTTTAAAAATAGGTAGATCTTACAGACAAAATCAATAGGCAAAGAACAGACTTGAACAATGCTATAGACCAAATGGATGTAACAGATGTATATAGAACATTCTATCCAACAACAACAGAATACACATTCTTCTCAAATGCACATGGAACATTTTCTAGGATAGACCATACATTAGACCACATATAAGTCACAAATTCAAGAAGATTAAAGTCATACCAATTATCTTCTTTGACCTCAATGGCATGAAACTAGAAATTAATGATAAGAAGAAACCTGGGAAATTCATGAACACGTGGAAATTAAACAACACTGTCCTGAAAAATGAGTGAATCAAAGAAGAAATTAATGGGGGAAATAAAAAGTTTTCTTCAGATAAATGAAAATGGAAACAACATATCACGCTCTGCAGGATGCAGCACAAGCAGTTCTAAAGGAAATAAATAATAAATAATAAACATCTGCATTAAGAACCAAGAAAGATACCAAATAAACAACCTGATTCTATAACTTAAGGAACTATAAAAAGAACAAACTTGGTCCAAAATTAGCAGAATGGAAGAAATAATGAAGATTGGAGAAGAAATAAATGAAATAAAGAACAGAAAAAAATAATAGAAAAGGTTAACCAAAGTAAGAGTTGCTCCTTCGGAAAGATATAAATAAAATTGACAAACACAGTATCTAGACCAAGGGAAAAAGAGAAAAGACCAAATCAACAAAATTATAAGTGCAAAAGGAGATGTTAAAACTGACATCACAGGGGTGCCTGGGTGACTCAGTCGATTAAGCTTCTGCCTTCAGCTCAGGTCATGATCCTCAGGTCCTGGGATCAAACCCCACATTTAGCCCCACAGCAAGCTCCCTGCTTAGCAATGAGTCTGCTTCTCCCTCTCCTTCTGCCTCCTGCTCCATGTGCTTGTACTCTCTCTGTCAAATAAATAGTTTTTTTTAAAGATCTAATGAGTGAATTCAGTAAAGTTGCAAGATACAAAATTAACTATACAAAAATCAGTAGCATATTCTATACACTAACAATGAATTTTCTGAAAAAGAAATAATCCCATTTATAATAGTATGAAAAATAATAAAATACCATATATAGATTCACTGCAGTCCTTATCAAGATTCCAATGGCAATTGTTAGAGATGGAAAAAACACTCCTAAAATGTATATAGAACCACAAAAGACCCCAAATAGTCAAAGAAACCTTGAGAAAGAAGAAAGTGGGAAGCATCACACTTCCTGATTTCAAGCTATACTATAAAGCTATGTTCATCGAAACAGTATAGTACTAGCACGTGTGCGCACGCACACACACACACACACGCACACACAGAAAAATAGAACAATGGGACAGAATGCAGAGCCCAGAAATAAGCCCAAGAATATACAGTTAACTAATATTTGAGACGGAAGCCAAGAATACTCAGTGAAGAAAGGACAGTCTCTTCAATAAATGGTGCTGTGATAATTGGAAATTCACACATAAAATAATGTGTGAACCTATATCTTATACTACTTACAAAAATTAACTTGAAATGGATTAAACACTTAAATGTAAGTCCTGAAAACATGAAACCCTTAGAAGAAAACATAGGAATAAAGCTTCTTAACTTGGGCTCTGGTAACAATTACTTGGATATGATATCTAAAGTGCAAGAAACAAAATAAAAAGGAAGTGTGACTATGTCAGGCTAAAAAAGATGCTGCCCAGCAAAGGAACCATCAACAAAGTGAAAAAACAACCCATGGAATGGGAAAAAAAAGTTGCAAATTATATATCTGATAAGAGGTTAATATCCAAAACATATAAAGAACTCATACAACTCAATAGAAACAACACAACCCAATTTTTAAAAATGAACCAAAGGATCTGAATAGACATTTTCCAGAGAATATATACATAAGACCAACAGGTACATGAAATGATGCTCAAGATCACTAATGATTAGGGACATGCAAATTAACACCATGATGAGATATTACCTGAGGTCTGTTAGATGGCCATCATAAAAAATATAAGAGACAACAAATGTTGGCGTGGGTGTGGAGAAAACGGAAACTTCATGTACTGTTGGTAGAATTGTCTATTGGGTCTAGCCACAATGGAAAACAGTATGGAGAATCTTCAAAAAACTAAATTGAGAACTATCTTTTCATTCATTTATGAATTTCAAATAAGTATTTTTTGTTTTATAATTTCAACAACTTCTTGTTAAATTTTTAAGTGTAAAACTAATATGTGGTCACTTTAAAAATCTGTGAAATCTGCAAACATAAAATAATGAAAAGAACTCAATTTTGTCACTACTTAAGGATAGCAATTTTAATAGTTCAGTTATTTCTCCTAAACACACAGCAGAGGCCTTACCACTTTTTAAATCTGCTATTGTGTGCACTTTCCCGCTCTTATTAAATAGTCTTTGGAAATTTGAGTCTTAATAATAATGGCAGTTGGTCTTGAAGCCTACATTAATTTTTTAATTTTACGAAGCTTAGTAGCATCCATTAGTCATTTTCTCTCAAATCCAGCATTAAGGAAAAAGGGGTCAGGGTGATCTGAGAAGGCTGAAGAGGTAGATGCTGAAGTGTCTGAATAGGGCCAGCAGGGGTTGCTGTCATGGATGAGACTAACACATTCCTGGTGTCTCTGACCTTGGACTCACTTAACATTATAATCTGGATTTTATTAAAGGAATTTCGCATTTTTCCTTTGCAAGAGTTACCCCCTACCATGACAAATATTTTTTAAAAAAATTTTTTTAAGTTGGAAAAGCAACTTTTTCTCAAAAGAAATTTATAGTTCAAATTTACACCAAGTTCTCACTAACTGGAGCAAGCCGGGTTTTCACTAAAGCTTTGACTTTCCTCTGTAAAACATTAGTCACTCCCTTGGAAGAAGCACTTTTTTATAGGCAGTGGGGTAAAACAGCCACAGATGTGCATGTAACGTGATGGCCTTAGAATGTACCTGCAAAACATTTTTTTTTTTAATTTAGAGAGAAAAAAGATGAAAGAAAAAAGACTGAATTGGGATGCTAAAATAACAGTGATTCACTAGTAAGGAAATGATAAGTTTTTGATCCATTCAAATAGTATTTTCTTTTTCCCTTTTCTTTATTCTTGGGAACTTCTTGAGGATGTGCCAAGTCATTTTCATTGCACAATTTTTAAAGGTATTCACCATTCCCATGTGTAACTGGTTGCCTTTTTACTGTGCAGGACTGTAGTGACGCCTGTGGCCAAAGAGTTTGATCCAGACATGGTCCTAGTTTCCGCTGGATTTGATGCATTAGAAGGCCATGCTCCTCCTCTGGGGGGGTACAAAGTGACAGCAAAATGTGAGTATATCTTTTAGAAATTTATGAAATGCTAAAACGTAATAATCTCTTTTAGGTCTTTAAAATAGATAGCACCTTTTACATGTGTCTAGTAAACTTAGGTAAGGCTTTTTGAAAATAATTCAGATTGTGTTTATTGCTTTGTCAGATTCATCTCTCTGTAAGGATGTTTGCCCTTAAGAAAAACAAAATTAAATTGTTTCCTTTGGTAGACTTGATGGGGCATTTCAGAACCTTTATGTTTTTCAGGAGTCCCATTTTGCTATTTAAAGGCAGAAGTGATAGGACTTCTGTTTAAAATATGTTAAATGACTTCAGAGGTCATGAGTCTAGAAAAGCTCCTGGGCTTTTCGAAAAGAGAATGGAAGTCACTGTTTTTATTCCATTGTACATATGGTAAAAAATAGCTCTTTCCTAATATATGCTATAGTCTTCTAGGTTTGAATATAAAAGTGTAGTTCCCCTTGCTCAGAAGCTCTGTACATGCCCACAGACAATGCTCAGGTTCTCTACTCCTCTTCTGTTGTGTTGCAAAGGTTAAAGTTTTGGCTCTGTTCCTTAACAGCTAGACACCAGATGAAAACAAATGAATTTTATGTTATACTGCATTTGAATAAAGTGACCTAATGGAATCTGGCTAGAAAGAGGCTTTCTTCAAAAATAATTCCCATGTTCTCTGAGTATGAAAATAAGGCATATGTATAGCCCATGCATACAAATGTATGCTGGTACTCTGGATATATATAAAAAAGAAGAAGGAAAAAAGCAGAATTGCACAAAGAATCCGTTATTGTGTATTTTAGTGGGGGTTGGAAACAAATCAAAACAACCCAAATAGTTTTAACTGAGAGAGATGAGTTTAGAGCAAGTGTGTTTTATTAATTTGAAAAGAACCAAAGAACCAGCATCATGCCAACCTTTGTTTTTAGTTGGCTTCTCATATGAGAGAGTTTTCTACACTCTAATTGTTCCAGTAACATTGTTAGGTAGTAACTATTTTTAACTTCTATTATTTACCCATGGTTTTTGGTGCCTTGTTGTCTATTGAAAACACATTGAAAGAGGCAACTCCACAAACACAAACAAAACATAATAATTCACAAGTTTGTAAAATTGAATAGAGAGGTGTTTGGTTTTATCAGATGTCTTTATGATCCCTTTTCTTTCTTCATGGAATTCCACTCCACTTTAGTGGGAAGTCAGTCTTCCCACTGCATCCTAATTAGCATCAAGACTGGTGACAAGTTTAGTCTAAATAAAGAGAAAAGACCTTATACTTCAAGTTGATATATACCCAAACAATGGAAAACACATGGAACAAAGACAGAAATCTAGAAAAGGTGTTCCTTGCCATTAAATACAAGACTCTCCCTCGAGAAGGAGGACTGTCTATATTTGGGTGTTTCTTCCTGCCAAGGAGGCAAGGTGTAATGAGTCCATTTCTCAGAACTAGCTGGAAGGAACTAATCTTTTTGTTTGCTTGTTTGTTCATTTTTTGCCAAGTGGAGTTCAAATATCAAATGTCATCTTGGAAAGTAGAATAGAAAGTAGTAATCGTGCGGTTTCTTTTAGTCATAGACCTAAGGTACATGGTTTCTACTCCTTTTATCTTCAGTACAATGAACTGAGACCTTTATTATGTTGTGTTTCTTTATCCATTTGGGGGTAAGCTCTTCATTGTTCCAGCTAAGTTTGTCTATCATCTCTTCAATCCCTCACCCCTCCTTACCTGTTTTTCCTTCTTGTGTCTTTTCTACTCAGCAGACCATGTTTCCTTACAAGGTGATTTGTTTCCTAAGAAAAATAGACAGACATAAATTTTAACTGATTTAATAATTGTCCCTCTCTGAGTACTTACAGTTTAGGAAAAAGATACACGATGAGGAAAGGAAATCCTAGAACTCAAGAGATGGTAGTAGAGACTACCTAAAACAGTTCACATATTGCATAGATGAGAAAACTAATTCATTTTACCATCTGAAATAATTGGGGTTAAGATAAAAATATTTATTCTGAATTCATATTTAGATAAAATTGTATGAGGCTTTCACTGGATTTTTTCCACTAAAGAGAAAAATGTTTTGTAAAGTGCTTGAGAACAGAGTAGTTGGATGCAGACCCTTAACTCCCCAGGTGCAGGCTGTGATAGACACTGACTAGTCCCATGATACTTAAATGAAAAACCACAGAGCATCACATCTGGGCTGCTGTTTGTACATATCATCTCATGGAGGCCTGAGTTTACCAGCCATATTTTCTAGAGATGCTGCCATAACTAGGTAGAGGTTAGGATTACTAGACAGCTGTATAGTTGCTCCCCAAATTGCTCACCCCTGGGTCTTTTTGTTCTTTTTCTAACCATGTGGCAGATGCATTTATGTTGCTTTGGTCTGAAAGTTCTCCATAGGCAATTACTAGTGGACCTTCACTGTCTATGCTGGAAGTCATTCTCCATTTCCGAGGAGTCTCAAAATGAAGCTAGAATTGGGCTAATTACTACAGTAAAACATAGGTAGAAATTACGGAAACAAATTCATAACCTAATGTTTTCCCATTTTACCTAAACTCACCCTTGCTCCAGTAGAATGTCTAAGGATTTTAGAGAGTGGTTTTTACATACTGTGTCACAGATGCTAAAATTTTACGGTCTTAGCACATCAAATCTTTTAAAATAATTTTAATAGTCCTAAAAGTAAAAGATAAATTAAGTCAAAACAACTCGTGTTTTCACTTATATTTGTATTTAGATATCTAATTCGTTATCTGATTTTTTTTTGAAGACTTGTTTGATGCTATGACAAAAATTTCAGTGTAGCCATAGAGGTGATTTAAATTAAAGTCGATTCTTGGCTAGTACTATTTTCTTCCTTCCTCTCTTCTCCTCTCATTTCTTTACATATTAAATATTCTCTACAACAAAAATATTCATATTTGTTTGTGCCAAAGTTTGAAATAGTCTGAATTCATTATTTAAAATCTGTTTTTTCAATTAACCACCAGGACTAAGGCCCACACTGAAAGGAGTAAGTATCTTTATGTCCTATCCTAAATACTACATCAAGCTTTACCATGAAATTATCAGCGTATCCTTTAAAAATATTCTCATTCAGATCTAGATATCTTTAGGTTACAGTTTAAGAAGGTTAACATGACAATTAAGTGCCATGTTCCAACAATAAAATGAAACAAAATTGAATCATCATATTGCAGCAACCCTGGTCTTATGGTGTTGTCAACATTAAAAAAAATTGTTTCTTCAGTTCATGTTAATTTGCAGAAAAATGTATGTTTTCTTCCTTTTCAAGACATTTATATGTTCTCTCCTTTCATTGGCTTCATATAGTATGAATATGCAAATTTCTTTTATCATGTGAATAATAATTTTCCTCCTTTAGAATAATTCAGAAGTCACTGTGAGGTGATACCCATCTCTGATTAAAAAAAATGATCTTTTTTCAGAGGGAATTTTTATAGTTTTTGAGATAGTAACTACTTCCCTCAGCAAATAAATAAATGTTATTTGGACAAGTAAAAAACACCCATTAGTTGGTGAAAAAAATCAAATAACATATCTTAGTCTTGAATTACCATCTTCTTTTTGATAAAATGTTTTATCCTTTTTAGTTATCCTCTTATTCCTTTTATCCCACCATGAATGTCTGTCTGACAAGGAAAGAGCACTCTTGTGACGTAGGTACCTATAGAAATGAATTCGTTCTTAGCTTTGTGTTTTTCCTGAGGAAGTACAAAAATTCCTTGTTTAGTCAATCCTCCAAAAATAAGTCTCTAAAAAGTTGAGTGTTGAGCCAGTCAACAAATAGTTCCAACAAATTAACTTGATAGGTATATCAGGTTATGTTGGTCTACTTCATCAGCTTATGATGGATATATGTGCTTCAACTCCCTGTGTATACAGAGTGTGTGGTTCAAGATGTCCTCTGTCGGCACATTTTATTTGTCCATAGAGTTGAAGGCAGATGGAGCCGGAATTAATTACATTTTGGTGAAGTTGACTTTTTTTTTTTCTCCTCTCGCTGATGATTCTAGCCCTCTCTTAATATGTCCATAGCTATCCTCTGTCTCTAATTTTCTCTGCTAGAAAGAACCTGATCACATTCACTTGTATGTTGTATTCATTACCTAATTATACACTTTTTAAAGTGAATGTATTTCAGCTAATGTGATAGTTCTGTTTAGCAGTTGCATCTTTTATTATTTATCTGTAATTGTGGAATCAATGCTTTATCTTTTCATGATAGAATTTCAGACCATAGCAAACAGGCATGGAGAAAAGGAGTGTCTGGAAGACATTTACCAAATGCCATTTCATGAAAGATCAACCTTAAGCTGAAGGGTTTCAGTTCTTTTAGATTAGGATGGAAACTGGGGGAATATTATGCACAGTTGATAAACCAGAGTATCTTCCCATCCAGCTACCATCAGATTAACCTCTCTCATACGTTTCTGTTCTGTGTCATCAGAGCTGGATCACTGCCTGGCACATTTTCTAAATAACTTCTTTTTTAAAATAAATAAAGCTAGATGAACTCATTGTCTTTTAAGCAAGTCAGAGGCTTTCTTCTGTATTTGATGCTACTCGAATTGGGTTTTAGGATTTTCTTTTTTGTAATCACTGCCACTTCTTTCCAAGGTTTATTATTCTTATCTCCTATAATATTTTAATTATCACAAACCTGTGTTTCTGACAGTGGTCACATGTGCAACATTTCCTTTTAATAGAAATAGTATTAAAAAGAATATAAATATTAAAGGGGGAAGTCATGGTTTCCTTGAAGCAATGGGTTTTGGACAAAAACACTGAATTCCTGCTGCTAATACCTACTAGAATCTAGATGGTAAGGTAACTCATTTCATTTCTGTTCAGAAAAGCAGTACAGTGGAAGAGTGAATCCTTTAAATAATAAACTTGAAATAAAGATGAAAAATTAGAGAAGAATACAGAATAACTCATTTTGGTGCCAGAAGATCTATGTTCAAGT